AAAATCCCGCGAGGAATTTATTTTCTTATCATAACAACATGCAAATAAGTTTCCCTTTCTGATCAGCCGCACGAAGGTGAGGAATTAAGGAAGGGAGGGGGGGTTTTTTTGGCAACGGTTAAGGGTTTATTATTATTGTTGTTATTCCATTATCAAGCAGCCAACACAAACGCGATGAGGTGAGGAAACTGAGTCACAATGCACAAGAGAAAGGAGAGTCCCAAACTCTCAAATTAAAGAGGAAGGAAAGCAAACGAAACAGGAACAAACATTTCCTTAAAGCAGACGATTGATATATATTTTTTTAAACCCTTCCCCCCCCCCCCAAAAAAAACCAAATTCAGTGAAACCAACCGTGTCCTATATGAGATGTTTTCATGGATGAATAGTGATTTTTTGAGTTTAGCGTTATGATTATTTTTAAATAGATATTTATTTGTGAGCAGGAGGCAGGCAACAGACAGACGCAGACATGATGTTAGTGGTGGGGGGGTTCCCCCCGTTTTTTTGCATGTTGATTGAATGGCATGATTCGGCAGGAAAGAGAGAAAACACACACAGACAGAAAACAGAAACAGAAACAGAAAAAAAGAGAGAGAAAATGAGTCATCGGCACCGGAAAAGAACAGAAACACTAACGATCATATTAGAAAGGGGGGGAGGGGGGAAATTAGGGGTTTATATAAAAAGAAGAGATTTTTCTAGCAAGGACCAAACCTGGAAAGAAACACAGTGGAGTGAAATTATTTGCATTTTACATTGCAATGCAAATTCGTGGGCACTTTGCAAGCACCTTTGAATTGTGTCTTTTTTTGTTTGTTTGTTTTTTTTAAATTCCCAGGCAAAGCTAAAAATGCCAGTTTCGCGGTTCGCGTTCAAAAAAGGAATGTGAATTTAGCAAACCCCTGCAGCCACGTACGGGTCTTGCAACAGGATTTATTTGACGGGACCGTCAGTTCAGAAATGCTGGTCCACCCAAGGATAGACAGAATAACAGAGTAACAGAGTTGGAGGGGGACCCTAGAGATAGTAGAGAGACTTGCAGTATGTACCACTTGATAGTGCTTTACAACCCTCTCTAAATGATTTGCAGACTCAGAATATTGCCCCCAATAATCTGGATTCTCATTTTATCAGCCTCGGAAGGATGGAAGGCTGAGTCAACGTTGAGCCGATGAGAATCGAACTCCAGGCTCTGGGCAGAGTTTAGCCCGCAATACTGCGTTCTAACCACTGCGCCACCACTAATGAAACATCCGATCAGCAATAGCAATAGCATTTAGACTTAAATACTGCTTCATAGTGCTTTTACAGCGCTCTCTAAGCAGTTTACAGAGTCAGCCTATGACCCCCAACAATCAGGGTCCTCATTTTACCAACTTCAGAAAGATGGAAGGCTGAGTCAACTTCGAGCCAGTAAGGATCGAACTCCTGGCAGTGGGCAGAGTTAGCTTGCAATACTGCATTCGAACCACTGCGTCACCCAAACACTAGAAGGCCTATAAACTCATAGATGTCACTCGTTTCATGTGCATTTTTTTTAAAAATCCCCGATACAAAGGTTTTCCATCCATTCAAATCTTACTCCTCCTGGCTGTCTGATCTGATGATTAAGCTTAACAGTTGAAGAGGAAAAACATCGGATCTTCCTTGACAATGCAAGAACTATGTTCGTGAGGTGGGAAGAAAAACTGACATGATTGCGTTTGCCTGCAGAAGTTAAAACAACAACAACAACAACCCAACAACAACAGAGAGCAAGAAAGAGAAGAATTCATAGCATTGGCCAAAGAAACCGGTACACCGCACAGCTACAGAATCAAAGGAAAACTAAATTCATTGATGTGTTTTCCTTATTCTTTTCTCCGTTGGTCCTGTTAGTGGCTAAACACCTCATAAGTATAGATGGTAAAGATCTAGAACCAGGTGGGGAAGGGGGGAGGCAAATATGGAGGGAGGCCCTACTTCTGGATTTCAGGGTGGGGAGGAAAATGCTCCATCTTCCGGAAGTTTCCTTCAAGTAGCTCCAATAGGAGAAGAGCAGGCAACGCTGAGGGGGCGGAGTTAAGCACGCCATTAGCTTTGAGTCGCTGCGTTCCCAAAACGCTTCAACTCCTCCTGAATTCTGTTGACCCTTATCTAATGCCAATTGAGTGTTGACCAGATACTTGTGTAGAGGGTTGAATCAATCTTCTATTCGGCAACCTAACGGATGGTCCTAATTCTTTGTGCCTGACAGCTCCTTTTGGTATTGCAGAGACCCGCATGAAGGCAATCAAAATGTCTGACACCAGGGTAAAGGGATTAAAGCATGATAGCTATGGGTTAGCAGCTGAGATGGGGGGAGGGGGAAATGCATGAATCTTATCCCCAAATCATCCTGACTTCCCTTGTTCTAAGATGCTTTAGAATTTCTTTTTGTGGCACGTTATACCTTACTTTACCATTTAGAAGGGTACTAGTCTTTCTTTTTTCCCCTTCTGTGGTCCATCCATGTCCCCTAGTGGCCTCCATGGCTGGACCTGTCCTTTATGCTTTGTAGGAAGCCAGAGAATTGCAACCCTTGGGAGATGTGATATTTGAGAGCCCTCAAATATACACTTTGGTCATATCTAAGGGGAACAGAAGTTCTTTGCTTCTCTACCTTATGAGGACTCCCCACAAAACAATCGCCCCCCATCGAACAAATTTCAAAAATGGTTCCATTCCCATCAAATCAAAATGCAGGAAAAATATATGTTAATAATCAGCTGTAATTCTGATCCCTCACAAGCCAGTAATGTTTCACCACAGATGAGCCCGAACTGAATTCTGCTGCTGCTGAATCGTGTTGAAATAAAATAGAATGGTTTTCTACTCTGGATGTCTGTGGAGTTTCTCCGTCATCCAGGTCAGGGTTGTCCCAAAGGTGCTTTTTTCAGAAGGCAACTGGAGCTTCTTGTTTTCCTCTGAAGACGTTTCGCTTCTCATCCAAGAAGCTTCTTCAGTCCAGAACTTCAGAAAACACCTTTGGGACTGCTCTGGATGATGGTTCTGTTTGGGGAAGTCTGAAAAAGCTTCCACTGAATTACGTAGACATCTCCTTACTGATGTTGTGATTCCTTCCATGGATAGAGACCACATAGTTCAGAAAGCAAAAAAAGTAGAGATTCTGGTTGGGAGACCAGCCTAGGATTCATCATCAAACCTACCACGTGACTGAATCAAGTTGTGACCCCGTTGAGGAATTCACACAACACATTAACCTTGGTAGGCAGTAGCTCAGATTGTCATGCAACTCCATCTGCTTTGCTTACGTTACAGGTCAGCCCTGCACGAACTCAGAACATGAGCTAATTCAATAACCTTGGTAAGCATCTTGCATGAATACAGCCAGACCAGGCTGTCATTACAGGGAGGGAAGAGAGAAGAGGCAACTATTACCAACGTCTGTGTCAAAGGCTACTCACAGGGTCAGGAAGAAAGCTAAATTAGATTTAAATTAATTCAAACCGTATCCAAAGCATTACACGTGATTAATGTGGTTGTTCAGTGGCATTTGATTCTTTCTCTCATGTCAAACGTTGTAATCTGTGGAAGGGGTGGCAAGAATTATGGCTTTCAAGAGCCACGGGTCCCACACTGGGGAAAGACCACTACAGCAGAATGATCTATTGCCAATGGATACCAGCATAAACAAATTGAGTAATTGGATACATAATTAATTCTTTGGCATTGTACATAGTGTCCCTTTGAACAACCCCTTTCAGTGGCAAAAAAATGACTTAGTATCCTTTGCAACCAAGGCCTTAAGTTTCCAAAAGACATTCAGCCTTGAGCTTTGAAGACAAGAATCATAGGGCATAATTCAGATTTGTCCAACTGTCACCTCTCAGATGTGGGTCTTGATATAGGCTGGGAAACATCTTCTCAGAAGTCTCCAAAGTGGCTCTAGAAAAGCTGGAGGTAAGTCATGGAACTGAGCGCAGGCTGGGGAACATGGTCTCCTTAACTTTCTCCCAACAAGGAAAAAGGCTGGAAGTCCCAACGTGGAATCAGTTTGGAAAAAGGAACCCGAACGTTCAAACCGAGTCATTAAACACTGATCTCCCTCCAATATTCAGTGTTCATGCTGTCCTCCAGATGTCATTTAGCGACATCTGGAGGACATACCTTACGTAATAGATGCTAACCATAATTAATAGTGTCAAACATGATAGACCCCAAAACAGGAACTCTGCAAAATCCCTTTGAGGTCATAAAACCTAAACACGGTGCAAGAGCGGAGAATTAGAAGGCCCCATAATATTTATTCTATTCCGAAGCAGTTCAAGATGTATCTTCATTACTTACCCATCTCAATAGTAGCCTTAGTGCCCCATAATTTTACAGTTTGCCCAAGAGGTCTATCCAAAAGATTTTCTAGATTCTCCCCCCCCCCTTTAAAAAAAATGTATGGTTTGCTAAAGAAAAACAAGTCTCCAGTGGGTACTCACCGCAATCTCTGTGACTAAAATATCAGTAATACTTCCCAAGACTGTGACAAAATCAAAAATGTTCCAGGCATCACGAAAATAATTCTGTAAGAGAAAAGGGAGGATCCCTTCAGATCCCTTTCAAAGCTCTTGACCAAAAGGAAACAACAATTCAATGATACAGAATTCAGAAATAGACCCGCTTGGAAGCACGGTGGGACGTTGAGTCTCTCCAACATCCAAGGAGGAATAGAGTAGAGTAGAGTAAAGTAGAGTAGAGTAGAGTAGAGTAGAGTAGAGTAGAGTGGAGTGGAGTGGAGTGGAGTAGAGTAGAGTAGAGTAGAGTAGAGTAGAGTAGAGTAGAGTAGAGTAGAGTAGAGTAGAGTAGAGTAGAGTAGAGTAGAGTAGAGTAGAGTAGAGTAGAATAAAGTAGAGTGGAGTGGAGTGGAATGGAATGGAATGGAATGGAATGGAATGGAGTGGAATGGAGTAGAGTAGAGTAGAGTAGAGTAGAGTAGAGTAGAGTAGAGTAGAGTAGAATAAAGTAGAGTGGAGTAGAGTAGAGTAGAGTAGAGTAGAGTGAGTAGAGTAGAGTAGAATAAAGTAGAGTAGAGTAGAGTAGAGTAGAGTAGAGTAGAGTAGAATAACGTAGAGTGCAATAGAATAGAATAGAATAGAATAGAATAGAATAGAATAGAATAGAATAGAATAGAATAGAATAGAATAGAATAGATTTATTTGGAAATGAATATGAGAACTTCAGGTAAATTTGGAACGTGAGAACTTGACTTTGGATGGGAAAGGACAGTGATGAAATAAAGTTCGTACCAATGCACCAAAGGCGATGATCTTCAAGATACATTCCAGTGAAAACATGGAGGTGAAGACAATATTGAGGCATTTCAGCATATCTTCGTAGGGTTCAGGGGCACCGTAGAACTAAATTAAAGTTGGGGGGGAGGGAGGAGAAAAGTCAAGTTGCAGCCGCCAGAGAAATAGGTCAAGATTACACAAATGGGAGCCCTCACGATCGCCCCAGAGGTTGCTCACCTTCATCATAAGCACAATGGTGTTCAACGCAATCAGGACCATGATAAAGTACTCGAAAGGAAGAGACACCACAAATTTCCACATTCTGTACTGGAATGATTGTTTGTTTTGGGGCATATAGCGGGTCAAAGGTTTGGCACTGATGGCAAAGTCTATGCAGGCTCTCTGCAAGGAAAGAAGAAGAAGAAGCAAGATCAAAAGAGAAAGTCACAGGAACATAATCTTTCTCCTGCTTCCTCCTAAATGGTCTTCTTCTTCCAAACCATCAGCTGTTTGGACTTGAGATTACAGCAAAATAGTTAGTTATCATGATCTGATTGGCTTTTAGATGTTTAGATTGGCCCTTAGACAAGAAACAGTGGATGGAAATCAACCAAGGAGAGAACCAACCTAGAACTAAGGAGAAATTTCCTGACAGTGAGGACAATTAACCAGTGGAACAACCTGCCTCCAGAAGTGGTGAATGCTCCAACACTGGAAGTTTTTAAGAAGAGACTGGACAGCCATTTGTCTGAAATGGTATAGGATTTCCTGCCTGAGCAGGGGGTTGGACTAGATGACCTCCAAGGCCCCTTCCAACTCTTGTTATTCTGTTATGTTAGCGTATCTGTACAGTTGGACCAATAGCATGGTGAAGCAAAAAATCCTTGAAACTGGGCACCATTTGCCCCAGAAATGGTCTGAAACCTTTTACTCCTCAATGTTCAACTCAACCACAAAAATCCTAGAGAAATGTAAACCATGCACCACCTCTCCAATCAGAGCAAGTACCTCATTTTTCTCCAGGCTGCATTCAGACATCACTTTGTCGCCCTGTTCTTGGAAGGTGATGATGATCAAAGCTACAAAGATGTTCACAAAGAAAAAGGGGAAGACGACAAAATAGACGACATAAAAGATAGACATCTCCATCCGGTAGCCAGGACTTGGGCCTTGGTTTTCATACGTTGCATCAACAGAGTGCTTCAAAACACTGCGAAAGGAAGGAAGGAAGGAAGGAAGGAAGGAAGGAAGGAAGGAAGGAAGAAAGAAAGAAAGAAAGAAAGAAAGAAAGAAAGAAAGAAAGAAAGAAAGAAAGAAAGAAAGAAAGAAAGAAAGAAGGAAGGACAGGGATGGAAGGAAGGAAGGAAAGAAAGAAAGAAGGAAGGACAGGGAAGGAAGGAAGGAAGGACAGGGAAGGAAGGAAGGAAGGACAGGGAAGGAAGGAAGGAAAGAAAGAAAGAAAGAAAGAAAGAAAGAAAGAAAGAAAGAAAGAAAGAAAGAAAGAAAGAAAGAAAGAAAGAAAGAAAGAAAGACAGGGAAGGAAGGAAGCAAGGACAGGGAAGGAAGGAAGGAAGGAAGGACAGGGAGGGAAGGAAGGAAGGAAGGAAGGAAGGAAAGAAGGAAGGAAGGAAGGAAGGAAGGAAGGAAGGAAGGAGATTAAGGTAAGGATTCAAATTCACAAAAATACAGGACTGCAATTAGAAATAAAGACAATAACCGCCAAGGATGTAGACTTACGTTGGCCATCCTTCTCCAGTGGAGACGGTGAACAAGGTCAACAGAGCCCAGAGGACATTGTCATAATGGAAATCATATTTCTTCCACTGTCTGGGCTGAGCCTCCACTTCATCCTTCTCGTAAGCCAGATACTGGCCTCTGGAAGAGTCAAAACATGGTGTCCAAACAAGCCACAGATCCAAGTCCGTCAAAACTGAGACTTGCTTCTCTCAACAGTGTTTTCACGAGCAGTGCCCTGATTAAAATTATGGGTGCAGCTCACACCGTCGTAGAGACCTGCCACGCCTCTTCGATCTGAATTCTTTTGAATTGATCTGGATTATTTTGAATCAATTTGAATTCTTTTGAATTGAAAATGCCCCTTCTTCAAGTCAAGGGCTCCGCTTCAAACCCCAAAGAGAGCATTTCACATTTAAAACAGCTGCATCGGACTTAACATACATCCCAGATGCTCAAAACCAGCCCCCTTTTAGCTATTTTCCACTTAAAATCAGACACTTTATAACTCAGCGGTGAAGGATCTCGGGATAAACTTAAGCACTCCAAACGACCCTTCTGTTCTTTATCAGAATAAGGGAAGTCTCTAAAACAGAAGCATATTAAACCTATCCAAAAGATTCCTGTATCATTTTGTTTGATGTGAATAACACCCACTTCCTCTATTTTTTCCTACCAATTTTGCATTATTTCCCTGAAGAATACTGGAATTGGGGATGTCTAGTTTAATAAAAAAAGAAGGACTGGGGGATGACATGATAGCAGTGTTCCAATATCTAAGAGGTTGCCATAAAGAAGAGGGGGGGTTAATCTCTTTTCCAAAGGACCTGAAGGCAGGACAAGAAGCAATGGATGGAAACCAATCAAGGAGAGAAGCAACCTAGAATTAAGGAGAAATTTCCTGACAGTGAGAAGAATTAATCCAGTGGAACAGCTAGCCTCCAGAAGTTGTGGGTGCTCCAATACTGGAAGTTTTTAAGAAGAGATTGGACAACCATTTATCTGGAATGGTCTAGGGTTTCCTGCCTGAGCAGGGGGTTGGACTAGAAGACTTCCCAAGGTCCCTTCCAACTCTGTTACTCTGTTATGAAAAGTCCTGGAGCAGTCAACATTTGCAAGTCTGTTTTGCATTCTTGCCTTAATAAAGGTTTGGTCATTTTTCCTTCCTTTTTTAAAATAATAATAATAATATATCCTCTGGCTACATGGAGACCTGGAAGCCTTTGCATCCACTCCACTCCAGCCCTGCCCTAACCTGCCATTAGATTCTGGCACCTGCAGTCTTTCTCCAAGTCCTTCGATTCATCGGTGCAGTAGAAGAAGCGGCCTTTGAAAAGCTGCACCGCGATGACAGCGAAGATGAACATGAAGAGCATGTAGACAATGAGGATGTTGAGAACGTTCTTCAGAGAGTTCACCACGCAATCGAAGACCGCCTGCGCGAAAGGGAGCAAAAGGTTGTTTCAGAACCTGAAAAGCAGGTTTCCAACTTACCATTCCTCTACATGGGTCATGCTTCATTTGGACTTGAGGGTGGATAGGATAGGATAGGATAGGATAGGATAGGATAGGATAGGATAGGGTAGGGTAGGGTAGGGTAGGGTAGGGTAGGGTAGGGTAGAGTAGAGTACAGTAGAGTACAGTAGAGTACAGTATAGAGTAGAATAGAGTAGAGTAGAGTAGAGTAGAGTAGAGCAGAGCAGAGCAGAACAGAACAGAACAGAATAGAGCTGGAAGGGGCCTTGGAGGTCTTCTAGTCCAGCCCCCTGCTCAAGCAGAACCTATATTGTGTCAGACAGGTGAATGTCTAGTCTCTTCTTAAAGACTAGGATAGGATAGGGATAGAAAATATAATAGGGATAGGGATAGAATGGAATGGAATGAATGGAAGAGAAGAGAAGAGAAGAGAAGAGAAGGGAAGGGAAGGGAAGGGAAGAGAAGAGAAGAGAAGAGAAGAGAAGAGAAGAGAAGAGAAGAGAAGAGAAGAGAAGAGAAGAGAAGAGAAGAGAAAACAGAACAGAGTAGAGTAGAGTAGAGTAGAGTAGAGTAGAGTAGAGTAGAGTAGAGTAGAGTAGAGTAGAGTAGAATAGAATAGAATAGAATAGAATAGAATAGAATAGAATAGAATAGAATAGAATTCTCTATTGGCCAAGTGTGGTTAGGCACACAAGAAATTTGTCTCTGGTGCATACAAACAGCAAAGTGATAAGTCATAGATCATAAATCATGAGATACAACAATGAATAAATCATGATATACCGATAAGAGAAGGTAGTAGGAAAGATGATAATAGCAATACAGTCCTACTACATGGGTAAATATCCTGGGGCAGAAAACACTTTTGTGGGAGTTAGGTATTTAGCAGAATTATGTCTTTGTGTCCAGTTGTTTTGGCATGCAATGCCCTATAATGGTAGTCTCTCTTAAGTCAAGGGCACCATTGCACAGCTGTTGGGTCTTACCTTCAATTTGGGGAGACGTTTGATGGTTTTCAGCGGCCGAAGGACCCGTAGCACCCGGAGGGACTTAATGGTGTTAATATCCTTCCCTTTGTTCCCTCTGCAAAAAAAGATCATGACAGCAAGGAGAGGATTTCGTCCTGGCTCAACTCATTCCAAAGTCCTCCTTGCTAGGAAAATATACCCCTCTGCCAGGAGACAATCTTCCCCCAATCTGCTGTATTATCCTTTTCCCCTCTCTCTGCAGCACCCCAAAATGCAACATATTCTCTACACTTGTGGATAATACGGCACGGAAGAAAACAGCGCGGGAAACACCACCGACAATTCCAGACTCCCGCCAAGTTTGACTTTGGGTTAACGAGCGTCTTTATTTTCATGCTACTATCGTTCTACCCGCTTGCACCCAGTGGCAAAGAAGCTCAAGGCCCTGGAATGGTTGGCAAACATTCCATCAAATGACATAAAACTGCGCTCAATTTTATCTCATTCGGGTGATTGAAGCAAGCTCGGGACCTCAAGAGTGGCTGGCTGGCTTTGAGATTGTCGCTGTTCTTACCCATCGACTTAAATAAGTCCTCATTTTGCGTGCCTGCCCACATGGGTCTCCTTGGAAAAGGGACTCCGCAAATAAGCATGAAAAACACTCACTTGTTTGAGTGCTGTTATAGCAATAGCAGTAGCACTTACTTATATACTGCTTCATAGTGCATTAGAGTCCTCTCTAAGTGGCTTACAAAGTCAGCCTTTTGTCCCTAACAATCTGGGTCCTCATTTTAACGACCTCAGAAGGATGGAAGGCTGTGTCAATCTTGAGCCGGTCAGGATCGAACTCCGGGTGGTGGGCAGAGTTTGCCTGCAATACTGCACTCTAACCACTGCGCCACCAGGGCTCCTAATGCAACATCTGATCAGTTACAGCAATAGCAATAGCACTTGGACTTATATACCGCTTCTTAGTGCTTCACAGCCCTCTCTAAGCGGTTTACAGAGTCGGCCTGTTGCCCCCCCAATGATCTGGGTCCTCATTTTAGTGACCTCAGAAGGAGGGAAGGCTGAGTCAACCATGAGCTGGTGAGGATCGAACTGCTGGCAGTGAGCAGAGTTAGCCTGCAATGCTGCATTCTAACCACTATGCACCGTGGCTCCTAATAGCAATAGCACTTAGACTTATATACCGCTTCACAGAGCTTCACAGCCTTCTCTTACAGCATCTTGCCCCCAAACAATCTGGATCCTCATTTTATCAAACTCAGAAGGATGGAAGGCTGGGTCAAACTTGAGCTGGTCAGGATCGAACTCCTGGCAGTGGGCAGAGTTTGCCTGCAATCCTGCATTCTAACCACTGTATCACCACGGCTCTAGTGTTTGTAACTTCAAATGGTCACTAAATGAATCGTTGAGTCAAGGACTACCTGGAAGCTTCTCCTTGGCAAAGGCAAAGAAGGAGCAGGCCCACCACCACCCTGCCCCCAGTTGGACAAACTCAGCTCCAATCTCATCTCGCCGAGGTTCCCTGACGGCCACTAAGATTGCATTCCACTCTAATCATGCTCAGCCATGGCATCAACCCTATGGCTTACGTGCCTGTCATGAGACAGAGTGCATAGATGCCGGGCCAGTCATGCAGAAGAACGGGTTTCAAGAAATGGACGCGATGGTTAGATGAGGAACACTTGGGAGATGGAGTAAGGTGGTTGGGTGTGGGTTTTTGTTTTTTTTTTGTGGGGGGGGTTATGTTCTGACCCAAAGAGAAACACATTCTCCGCTTCGGAAAGTGACCTGTGGGTCCTTATTTATCCAGTAAATTAAAATAATGTCAATCTCTACATTGGAAATGGGAGGCAGGATTTTTTTTTCTTTCCCAGCTACCTTAGAGAAGGATGCTTGGAAAACCTTTCTTTTAGCTCAAGACAGTGATGAAGAATCCACATATACGTGAATGGTAGATAGACAGATGCGCCTATATTCATACCGCTGGCTATAGCTCAGTGGTGGGATTCAAATCGTTGAAAAACGTGGATGCAGGCCTGGGCCTCTGAAGCCTAGAATGGACTTCCGGAAGTGGCATCCCCGCACTTCCAGTGGGCTGTTCTAGGCCTGGGAGGCCTCCTCCAGGCCTCCGAAGCCTAGAATGGACTTCCGGAAGTGGCATCCTCGCACTTCCGGTGGGCCGTTCGAAGCCTGGGAAGCCTCCTCCAGGCCTCCGAGGCCTAGAATGGATTTCCAAAAGTGGCATCCCTGCACTTCCAGTGGGCTGTTCTAGGTAACTATGAATTATGCTGAACAGAAAAATCAGACTGGATCTGCCTCTGATCTTCTTGTTTCTGCCTTGAGAAGGTTCAAAGGTTGTTGAAGCAGAACTTTCAACGAAAACATCAGAGGTTGCCCCACTGGTAAGTCATGGTGGGACCAAGACAAGGAGAAAAAGGCAGGGAATCGTGGACACCCCCACACCCCCACACCAGAACACCTGCAGACTGGTGACTGTGGGTTGCCCCTTCCTAAGACAGAAATAATTTGGAGGAAATGAGTTCTTTGAGCATTTCAACAGACTATGAATAACAATATGGGTGAGAACAGTCAATGGAATGATTGTAACATGAATGGACAAGAAGGTTTTGGCCACGGCAGGCAATAACAAGGCCGCAAGGGAGAGCAATAATGTATTACCCTATGAAACTCCTACAGAGACGATCCCAGTGAAAGAAAGACAAAAAAAAAAAAAACCAGAGTCAGCCACAAGGAAGAAAATAATCCGAACCACAACCCCAGAACACACACAATGGTTGTGTTTCCAGGAAAGACAAGACACCCCTCTACCCCTGTCCTTTTAATGTGGGGGCATTTGAGAGTTTGGGGTCCAGGCCTATCCACCCTCCCGGCTAGCCAGTAAGAATAAAATGCACACTTGTGTTCATTATTGCCATGATGATACATTTCCCCCCTTATTTTTACATCCTGACCACTTTCAGTCTAACTTCATGAGTGTTGAATGCGGGTTTGGGAGATTAAAACGAAGAGTACGTTCAAAGTGAAGAGATTCCTCCACCCCATTGGATCAAACCTCTGAAATAATTCCCAATTTCCCAAACAAGTTGGGTCTCTCCAGCGTTTTCCCTCCGTTGGGGCAGAAAAGATGAAGAAGAAACTACTCTGAATGTTCTGACGTAGACTACATTTCTACTCAAAATAATAAGTTTTATGATAGCCCAGATTAACAAAGATCAACTCCAAAGCAAACATTGGTTCTGTTCACCCAAAACAATTGAGATTGTCAACAACAAATCTTGTCTTATATCTGTAAAACATCCCAAACTTGGTTAGTTTTACCCTTGGCTGGTTTTTTTCCCCCTGTTCAAACACAGCCCAACCCTACGTAAATCTGTGATTCAACAAACGGTTTTGCTCAAACCAAGAATTTAATTCATTCAGCAAATGCAGAAAACCAGAGAGATGAAGAAAAATAAAAAAGGACAGGAAAGGGAATTTGTTGCAGATTTCTATGGGAACTGGATTCTGATGGCCAGAAAAACGAATTCCATCGTAGCTCAGATGACAATGCCAAGTAGAATAAAAACATCTGATTGAGAAGGATAGCTCCCCGAAAGGACATTTAAATATTGTAAATAGTTTATGTCAGAATTATTCGGTGGTTTGCAATGGCAAGGAGCTCCAGGAGGCATCAAAAAAAGGGGGGGAGCTGGAGGCACCCACATTAATAAATGTCATGGATGGGACCTCTGCAACTTTGACTGAGCTATAAGTATGAGCAATCCTGAATCCCGCTTTAGTTTGTGCTAAAAGACGGACGTGTTTCCCCTGTCCAATTCTAGGGGTGTGTTTGTGTGCTCATCTGTTTCTTGGCCAGCGTAGTCCAAAGGCAATTTTGTGGCCGTGTGGCCGGCAGGTCTATACGGAATGCTGTTCTCTTCCCACTGAAGTGGTACCTATTAATCTACTCGCATTTGCATGCTTTTAAACTGCTAGCTGGGGCGAGGACGGGAGCTCACCCACTCTCACTGCGCTCAGGTCTCAAACCCCTGCTGTCAGCTGACAAGCTCGGCGTCTTTAATGCGCCCTGGTCAAAAGGATGTTAATGGTGGATTATCTGCATAACTTCCATTGAATGAATCACTTCCAGGTCACAGGACCCAACTTCTAGGCTATGAGAGCAGCAGCAGTCAATTTTATTTTTATTTATTTTTATTTTTATTTTTTCAGCACAGCATCGCTCTGCTTTCCACTTCAGGAAGAAAAGCTACTTACGAAAAGGCAAATGCCACAAGAGCTCCACTGACCACAATGAAGTCGAGGATGTTCCAAAGATCCCGGAAATAGGCACCACGATGCAGCAAAAGTCCCAAGTCAATCATCTTTGGAACAAGAAGAAGAAAAAAAGATATGAGGGATGCAGGGAGGAGAACAAAAGGGAGAAAGGCGCATCTTGGTATTGATTTTAATAGTTCGGTGGACTGTGTATTGAGGAGTGTAGCACTGATGACGTTCCCTAGTTGGGTCATGAAACGTCTGCAAGAAAACCACCAAGCTCAGAGAGCACCAAGGACCCCAGAGTCCTCCTCTTCCTCCTCCTCTCCTCCTCCTCTTCCTCCTTCTCCTCCCTGCAAACCCCATCCCCTTCTAGAACTGATGACGTTACTTAGTTGGGTAATGAAACGTCTGCAAGAAAACTACCAAGCTCAGAGAGCACCAAGGTCCTGACAGTCCTCCTCCTCCTCCTCCCCCCAGCACTGATGATGTTATCTTGTCTGCATGATGTCTGCATGATGGTGGACGTTGTCCTTTAGCTCCGCACTAATGGAGCGGAAGAAGGGTAGAGGGGGGGCTTCGGAGACCCCTGAAGGAGCCAGAAGAGAGACCCCCGAGGAGCCAGAGGATCTGCCCCCTCCCTGGTGAGTTTTCCGGGAGGGGGAGAAGATAGCCGCGGGCCGCTCGCCGTTTTCTTTCT